TGAGGGCCCCAACCAAGCAAAACCTCCTAGCCTGAATTAAAACTTTGCCCTGGTTTTTAGTCTGGATTCACAGATGTCCAAGAAGGGATTAGTTAAAAAATGGTGGCAAATACACAAAGCCAGAAGAGTGCTTGTGTGTATGGCACGTGAAGAGAAGAGGCGCGGATGTTGTGGATGGACTGTATAAATACTTTACATTCCTAAATAACTTAAAGCATTTAAACATAAAGCGGAACCATTTTGCTCCTGTATAGTTCACCTTCACTGAATCCAGAATTATCCAAGGTTGACCTAAAAATCAACAGCAGTAGTAACACTGCCACAAGCATCACCATAACCCACAGAAGATAACTAAGCTCTCAGAAACCTCTATCCTTGGTTCCCATCGGACTATCATGAAGCACTCTGAACATACAGTCCAGGGTTCTCTTTAGTTAAATTTAGCTAAACTTCAGTGCCCTAAAAAACAATACCAAGCACTGGCTCCAGCAGGAAATGGTAAGGTGGAAGGGAGAATGCCAGGCACTTTACTAACTACAACGACTTATATAGCGTTCAGGATCCATCAACTAATATATAGAATTAACAATAGTAAGAAAGAAACCTCAGACACTAACAAAACATGTATATGGTGGTATGAGCTTTTGTGGGCACAACCCACTTCTTCAGATGAATGGAATTATTAAAAGTCCAGTTTCTAAATAAATAACAAATGGAGGGGTGGGGGTGTAAAAGAAGGAAAAAGAAGGGGGGGAAAGGGAAAAGAATAGTCAGAGTGTCCATGCAACAAGCAGCTGATATAGAAGGTACTAAGTGTTCTTAAGTACCCAGTGTTTGGTTTTTTAGGTCATTAGGATGTGGATTATAGCAAGTCACCCAGCCAATGTCTTTGTTCATACCTCTGTTGAAGGAATCAAACTTGTAAATGAAGTTAAGCTCTGAAGCCTCCCTGTGGAGCTTGCTTGTAAATTGGCCTGAAACAATAAGGTGACTTTGAGACCCATTAATGAGTGTCCAATCAAGTTAAAATGTTCCCGGACAGGTTTCTGTATGTTGCCTTTTCAGATATCTGATTTGTGTCCTTTAATTCTCTCACAGAGACTGGCCAGTTTGGCCAATATACAAAGCACTGCTGTCATTTGATAGCATAGATCACATTTGTGGATGTACGTACAGTTATATGAGCCTCTGATATGGTGATTTATGTGGTTAGGTCGTATGATGATATAGCTGGTATATAAGTGTGGACAGAGTTGGCACTGGGGTGGGTTCCTCGATGAGTATAACGGTGTGCTGTGTGGTTACTAGAAAGAATGTTTGAGGTTCGGGGGTTGTTTGTAGGCAAGGAGCGGCCTGTCCCCCAAAGCATGTAAGAGAGTGAGGGGTAATTTTCTAGGATAGGTTGTAGATAATTCATTGAAGGGTTTAAGTTGGGGGCTATAAGTGGTGTTGTGTTTTCTTTTCTGGGCATACCTTGAAGTAGGTGATCTCTGGGTACTCATCTGGCTCTGTCATTCTGTTTTTTCACTTCTTCAGGTGGGTATTTCAGTTTTAAGAATGCTCTATATAGATACTATAGATGTTTGTATCGGTCTGTGGGATTGGAGCACATCCATTGTATTTAGGGCTTGGCCGTAAAGAATAGATTGGGAAATGTGAATAGGGTGGAAGCTAGAGGCATGAAGGTAAGTGTAACACTTGCTAGGTTTCCAGTATACGGTGGTGGAAATGTGTGTGTCATATAATTGTACTGTAGTGTCAAGGAAGTAGATCACTCACGTGGACTGGTTCAGGCTAAGGTTGACAGTGGAGTGGAAATTATTGAACGTTCTTCAAGGGTCTCCTTCACCTGCTGGTGAAGGTTAATTGGTGAAGCTGGAGCAGCTCCCCACCTGACATAGGAAGCCGGAGCAGCCCGTCTGTGGGGTGCCCTGGCCCACCACAGCAGGGGCTGCTCGGGCCAGGGTAGAGCAGCCTTTGCTTGCGGTGGCAGCAGAGGGGTGGGGTGTTCCACTCTAGTGGCAGGCCATTCTAGGCTGGAGTAGCTCCCCTCTCGCCCCCCCCTTTAATCTACAGGCAAGTAATTTTAATCTTTCAGCCGCAGTTTCTCTAACTGCTATAGGGCAATGATACACAATAGTGTTTAAATTGGTTACGTTTAACTGGCTAGCCAATTAAATGGGATTTTACATTCCTAACATGACCGTACTCCGGAGTAAATTTTTCTAACCTAGGTTTTATAAGGCATAAAAACCTACTCCTCCAGGCTGAACAGTAATTAGGTTTGATGTGTAGGACCAGGGAGCTGCATGCTATTACTCAGGAGGAGCGGAAAGGTGAATAGAAGTCTAAGTGCCATTGATCCTTTAACAGGATGGGACAGAGGGAGTCGGGTATCTCAGAGACAAGCAGCCTGAGTAGGTAAGTTTTCAAAGGGAGGATGCTTAGAAGACTGCTACCCATCCATCCCTTAGCTGCTCCAACTGGACAGTGGGCAGGAGTCTTTGAAGCTCTTCTTACCATCACTGCTGCTGTGGGTAATGGTCTGAAGGTATCTTTTCTTCTCCCTCTCTCTTTCATTCTCTCTTTGAAATCAATGAGTATCCTCACAAATTTAAACACACACATGAACAGTTCCTCCCATTCTCATTCCTCTACCACTAATGTACCCCCACATTTACCCAAGCCCTACAATATCCACCATAAAACTAGTGAGATGTTGAATATTGGTTATTTAAGCAAACGTGTAACTGCTTGACATTTTACACACAAGGGGGGTGGGGAGAGAGGTGGGAGCAAGCTCCTGGCAAGCACTGGCTCCTGCCTGCCCTTCCCATCCCCCCACTGCCTTGGGAGGGGGAAGGAGAAAAGGGAAGCTGGCAGTTCCACAGAACCTGCACATGCCACCTGCCCAATCCCACATTGCTGCCTCTGAGGGAGGCTGCAGAAGAGAGGGGCAGGCACCTCCACAGGAGCCAAGGCAAAGGGAGTTGGGGGGGGGGGGAAGAGGAGAGAGAAGCGGGCATGTAGTCTATAGGATTAATCAATAAGCCCAGGCTTATCGGTTAATTGTGTAGTCAACTACACATTGACATCCCTACTTCTAGGTATGCTATAAAGTCACATCCCTAGCTTGCCGCACACTAACTCACCCTGTAGTGGTTTTAAAATTTGATCTTCAAGTCTTCAGCCTCTTAAAAGAAAAAACATTCAAAGGAAACATTATACCTAACCTTAATATTTGCTGTGTGGGGAAAGAAGAGAAAAAGGCAGCATAAAAATTATTTTATTGGGGGTGAGATGCCACCCTAATAAGTTTAATTACTCAAAACCCTTTTATTGCTCTAAAATTTTAGATAACGCAGTTTGGGGGCAGAGCATAGCTTGAGGTACAGCTTGAGGCACAGCTTGAAACACAGCTGTACTTCAGACAGATCAGTAGGTTTAAACATTGGGCTAATAATGTTTGGTACATTTTTCAAGTTTGTTTTTGTGGTTTTAAATGTACCACAGTGTAAGAGATCCATACTATTCTGTATACCTTGTTTCATTTTCTCCAAAAAGAAGCAAAATTAAATTAGATGTTTCTGCCAAACAACTTCCATTTTATAAGCCTTCCCCATTTACATACCTACAATTTTCCTCCCTCTTGGTGCTTTCTGGAAGTCAGAAGAGCTACCACTAGACTGCCAGCCCCCAGGACTATAGAATAGTCAGGTAACTTATAAGAATTCATGCAGCTACTCGATTACCTGATATCTAATATTCCCTAGCTACCATACGACAAAGAATGTTTATTCTTTCCTGTGTAGAGTTTCTTGCTGTTTTTCAAAGCTGGAGAGGGCAACTATTATGAATCGTTCAAGTTTCTGTTTAATGTAAATTATTAATCCATAAAACTTGACAGTTGGGAAGTATCTTACTCATTTACAGACAGTAGAAACAGAAGTATGGAGAGGTTTAAGTGACTTATCCAAGGTCACAGAGCAAATCAAATGACATAACCAACACTCAAGCCAAGCTGTGCCTCTTGTATACAAGTTAGTAAACCATATTCTACATGCAATACTCTTATCACCACTGGCTAAAGCAAAAAAAAAGTTGTAGGGAAGAAACTGGTCTGCTACTATTGTATCAACTGTTTCATTCTGTGCAACAGATATTACTCCTATTTCTGATAGCTACAGTAGCTGCTTGAATATGTTGCAGTACTGACTCCTCTTGCCTCTTTCAGTCACAGTTTCCCTATATGTTATGGGGGTATTCAAAGGTGTGTTTTGAGGCTCTCCTAAACAAACTAAGTTTAAAATGTTAAGGCAAGTCAGGAGCAGCAGCAACAGCAACATCTAGCACTGTAATCACTCCTTCAGACTACAAAGCTACTAGAAAAACCATGCACATTATCTCCATCCTTTTTTGTTTGGTTTAAGAAGCTGACATCCACTGACTTCAAATTAAACATCTAAATTTCTCCATGAAAACTCGTTGAACAAATGCACAAATTCAAAAATAAGAGATTAGAACAAATCTGTAGTTTCTAGGCAAAGCTATTTTACAACTATGAGTCAAATAAGCAGGAACATGTTTAAGTCACAACTATTTTATAAAATCTGTATCTTTCAAACAACTTGTCTGAGCTGTCTCAACCTTCTAAAATTTCACATTTAGAATTTTTCCAGTGAAAAGATTTACTTTTTAGTTACAGAGGCTGGCATATTAACTCATAAAAGTCCCAACTGAGCAAGTTACTGCATAGCCTCACAAATTTAAATTCAACTGTGTTCTGTTAGGTAGTAAAGCAATTTGTTATATTTACATTATAAGTTCTATGATAATAAGTCTAAAGTTCACATTTTAATTGAAAAATATCAAATTTATAGCTTAGCCTTCCAAACCCTGTTAATTTCTTGCATATAATATATATTAAAAAAATCTTAAAATGCTAAAAGCCAGTTTCAAGTTAACTTTTCATGTTAAAAAAGTAAGAACCTCAGACTTACCTGTAGCATACCAACTATTTCCACTTTATTAAAAAAAATGAAAGAGTGAAGTGTAGACAGCATATTTTCCTCAAACACTGAAGGAGTGGGTAGAACCATATCTTGGATATACTGTACTCTGTATGTTTGATGAATCTTTTGCTTCAACTCTGGATCAGATATAGGAATCACCTCTTTAAATTTTGCTGTTTTTGTCAGAAATTCCCTGTGTTTCCGTGACTGCGATAAAGAAGGATCATATTCTAGGCATCCAATTACATCCATTATACATTCCTCAGAAAACATTACTTCAAAAAGTGCAGTTCTGTTCAAAAGGAAGATTCCCTTGATAATTTCATACAAGTGGTGTAGTCCCTCGGTGTTCTCCAAGTCCTCGCACACATGAAAAATTTCTAAGAGCTTTTTAATATAGCCCTCATTCTCCAATGCTAGTGCGAGTTTTTCACGACGCAATGGGGAAGGCAGTGAAGATGCCACAAGTTCCGCAATTTCCTCTAGTCGACTTAATTCACAAGATGGCAATTCTAGACCTGGTGATGACATATCATCAAAACGTTCCTCCTCAGATTCATCTACAAGGTCCTGAGTAATATCCACTGAAGGATCTTTTCCTTGAACCTATTACAATGAGACATTTTTATAAATAATGTTAAAAAGTTTCTACTAGCAATTTTTAAAATATTTCTAACAACTTGAATTTCCAGTAGAGAAAAGAGAGGGGGAAGGTGGGGGGGAAGAAGCAAAAAACCCACATTATACTCTTTGATGGCAGAAAGGCTTAAAATCATATTCTTATTGAAAGTATTATCTGGAATGTCAGTAATTTTACTTCAGGGAGCCAAAAATAAATGCATGAATAAGAGTTTGAATTTTAAATGTAATGCAGTTTAAATTCTCATGTGCTTTCCACTGGTAGTATGAAAGACACATTCTTGGATACTGAGCACCTTCATTAACGTAAAAAGATTTTGAAATAATATTTTTCTGGATTAGATACTTAATTTTATTAGTTTGTATAAAGCTGTATATTTAAATGACAGGAAACTGGAAGAATAGGGAATACAAGAAACAGCAGAATTTTCAGAGTACTTCAGGCAAAAGGAACAAATTATTATAATTTAGCAGTTTCCAAGTGCCCATCACTATAGCTTGAAAGATTCCCTTGCCCAAGGTTAATAAGAAGCATTCTCAGGTAAACATCTTCTGTAGAATCTAAGCTTTCAATTACATTTTTTTTCCTTAAACACTTATGGTTTTGAAAATAAGGTTCTAATACAAACAGATATTAAGAAGACTGTACTGCATCAGTTTAAGTCTATATACAGCTTGTTCAATTACCTCTGGTGTTGATCAGAGCTTACCACCACAAGCTGCACCAGAATGAATTGATCAGAGTTTTGTCAGCTTTTACTGCTATTTCTCATAACTGTGGGTAATAGTGAAAACTGACAAGAAACAAATAAGTTTTGTTCTTCCATAGTGTGAGAAAACTGAATATCAGCACAGAGGCACTGGTGTTATTCACTGGGAAAGAGGACCCAAAAATGATGGTTGTTACCGATACTCTGCTCCTTTTTCAATATATCTGCAGTAACAAAAACTGAGGGAATTGAAGAAATTGAGGTTCTCACCCTACAGATGCAGCTGGGAGACTAGTGGAGTTATAAAGGACAAAACACCTCATTCTTGCAACAAACAGAAGGCTGTAGAAGAGTATGGAAAAATGATGAGAACACTCCTCTATTCATATAGCAGCCAAAAAAGGCTGAGGGAAGGGCCGGGAGACACAAATGTGGGTGCTGTCCAGCCCCAGGTACATGTAAAAAGTGGGATTTCAAAACACAGTCTGAGGACAACAATCTGGCAAGAATACTAACACGTACAATTTCCCCAAAGCTGGGAACAACTGGCTTTTTATCTGGGTAAGGTGGTGCCATTCTATCTTTTGTATATGTCTATAGCTAATAGTTTTAATTCTCTGTCAATATTTTTGATTATGGGTGGGAAAGATTTATGGAATAAAACTGAAAATGAATACGATCTGCAGGAATGTACAAAGTGATGTATGAAGACATCTCTGGAGAGGAGAAGTAGAAGAAAGCATAGCATGGAGCCCGGGTTCGGCAGGGAACTCCGAGTCCCCCGCTGATCCCAGGCTCCATGGTTTTGAAATGCAAAAGAGCCCCCCACAGGGGAATCTTGTGCATTTCAAAGAAGGCACACGCAGGCAGCCCGGAGTCGGCGGGACTTCCCACTGGCCCCGGGCTGTATGCGGAGTTCCAGCAGGGGCTCTTGTACATTTCAAAGAAGGAATGCAGAAGTGCCTATTGACTTGTCAACTAGTCAATTAACTGCATTTTAACATCCTTATTCTCAATCAGATAAAACTTTGGTGGAATACAGCTTACTTGTCTAATCTGTTCCATGAACTTGTACTTTGTTAAAAATATCTTTGAGATTCACCTACACTTTCCCTAAGTATAGTTTGCACACAGATCTGAAAGCTTTCCCCAACTCTTAAACTTAGCACCAGATTTTTAGGGGGAAAGCAACAACTTCTCAATTACCAAATACGTAAATGTTTTCTTCTGCATTTTTTACTTACAAATACTATGCTTAATCTCATTGTTAAAAAATTCCATAAAAATCAAAGACATAATGCAACCATCTAAATAATCTTCCATTTTTCAAACATACCTGGCATATTTTTTCCCATATTTCATCACATCCAGCTTTTTCTTGAAAGCTAAGTGCCAAATCATAATTTTCAGCTTCAGACCACACAATCAAAGTGTCCTAGAAAGAGATAAAAAAATATCTTTCAGGCAAGTTAGTTTTTAAAGCCTGTATAGCTATAATACATTTGAAGAGTGACTTATCAGTTAAACTGACAATGCAAAGGTGAAACCAAAAACCAGAAAAAAAATAAAATACATATTCAATTATCATATTTTAAAGTTATGTTTGAAGTACCTATGAAAGTTACATTTTATACAAACCAAGACAAATAAGTCAATAAATAATACCAAAATTTTTCACTATTACTTTATGCAACTAAAAATTATATGTATATACCAAATATACATTTTAAATACATCTTTAAGCTTTTTTACTTCCCTCTCAAATAAAGCATGCTAACAATTAAAATATATCAGTTAAATTGACTTCTTCTGGACTAGTGAGTATGCATAAAACTAATCACATGTGCAAGTCATGTCAAGGATCACGGTCACAGCATTCGGATCCATTGTGCCCCAGAAAGTGCTATGCTGATGCAATGTCTAGATAGAAAACAGATGTATATTTAAAAGTGTCTATGCATTTGAAACTATGACAGAACTACTCGTAAGCATGGCGCTAATTTATTGGGTGCATTAATGGTCTTTTTATACCACCCCCACCTTTATTTTAAATCTGAAAGGCAAGCCTGCTTGACAGCAATTCTGGGCCCAAAAGCTGAACAGGCCCTCATGCATGCATGAACTGCACCTGTGCTGGTCCGTGCCCAGAGAGCTGCCATCTGTGCTACTGGCTGTGGTCTTCTGACACAGCGAAAGCTTCTACATGTCTGCCTAGGTAGGTTGCCAACTGTCCCATCACGCAAACCCAAACACCCTTGCTGCGCTCGTATCCTGCCCCTTCTCAGAGACCATGCCCCTGTCCTACCCCTTTTGTGAGGCCCATCTCCCCACTCACTTCATCACTTGCTCTTTCCCAACCTCACTAACTTTCACCAGACTGGGACAGAGGGTTAGGATGCAAGAGCGTGGCAATTACCTCAGGTGGCTTCGAAAAGTGACCATAATACCCTCTGGTAGTGGCTCCTAGGTGTAAAGACCAGGAGAACTATGAGCACCACCGCAGTTCCAGGCCAATCAGAGCTGCACAGTTGGTGCTCAGGAAGGGGCAGCGTTTGGAGATATTCCCTTCCCTCTGGGGATCACAAGGATTCGGCCAGCCACTCCCAGGAGCGGCATGAAGCAAAGGTGGGCAGGAAGTCTG